ATTGACTTTACTGCAAACTACCTGCAGGTTACTGCAGTCTTGCATTTGTCTGCTGACTTCAGGTGGTGCTGAGGCAGCTATGAAGGAGACGAATGCTAAATTTAAATGCAATGACAGATGCTGGGTGACTTTGACAAGCTGCAAACTGTTGCAGCAAGCTCTTTTAATGGTGTACTCCTTTTACAGTCAGAGTTGTTTAAGATAACTAGGAAATTGTATGCATTTGGGGCAGTGTCGCTTAGTAGAGTTATTTTTAGCATGAGACATATTTTCACTCTTTAGTTGCCATATACCCTGCATTGGGCAGAATGATTTGTTTTGTGTTTCAAACACTGATTCTCTACTACACAAAAGCTGTGCCTACATATTACCAGTACAACTTGTTGAAAAGTAAAATGATTTGTTAATTAATCCATTTTTGCTTCTAAAAGAAACCAAAGAAGCTGTCTGATTTTTACCCTTGGTTGCAAACTAGTGTTATTAACCAGTTTTTGGAGAGTCATATGCTTACAGCTAAAATCTTTAGAGATTTATAGAGGATTTGGCAACTCTGCCATTACATTGAAGTTCTGCCGGCAGCGTAAAGTCCTTAAATTAAAAATGCTTTTTAAAATTTGATTTTTTCCTAAGCTAATAGATACATAAGTAGGATTGCCAGAGAAAATAATGGATGCCTGGCTAAATTTGAATTTCAGAAAATCAACAAGTTAGTGTTTAGTATACCCCCACGTACGGCATGGGATGTACTTATGCTAAAAATTTATTCATTTATCTGAATTTCGGATTTAACTAGGCATCTTATATTTTTATTTGCTAAATCTGGCCGCCTTATATTGACACAAATTTTTAAAAGCTCAGAAGAAATGCAGTTCAAAATAAGTTTCTCCTAATGTCCTCCAGCTCTCTACATTCCAGTGTGTCTTTGGAAAGCTTACAGAAATAGTCTATGCTTTTATAAACATGCACGAATTAGTTTTACTTACACCCACATCTTCCCCCCCTTCTTTTATATAAAAACTAGCAACTTAATACATTGCCCTGCTCATTCTTTTTTCCTATAACAATGTGGAAAATAAGGGATAGTGTCATCAAGTGAGTGGGCGTTTTGAAGTCGGGTAGAGTTGGATTCAAATCTAAGTTCTCGGACTTACTAGCTCTTTGACCTTGGGTAAGACCTCAGCCTCTTCCTTTCCTCTGTTGTCTTATCTGGAAAATGAAGAGAATAATGTGCCAGGCAGTGGAGGATACTGTGGAGAGCAAGGTGGTCAGGGTCGCTGCTTCCCTGATGTAATGTGTGTAACTGCAGTCTCATAGCACTGTGGTGCCACATAGGGACTGAACTCACGGAGCCATTGTTGGTGCGCCTTGTAGTTCTGAGTGCCCTGACCATGGGAACAGACAGCAGTGATATGGCTGCAAGCGGAACACATGAACAGCAGCTAGAGGGGCTGCTGTATGGAAGCCAGTATTTTTTGTAGTATTGGAATATGCTGTGTTGAGGGATTTAGTACATTGAAATATAATAGCCATGTTTTTAAATATACTTTAATTTAATTAATATAAGGAAGCTTAATTTTTTTCTTGGGGATTTTACTGAAAATCCTGCATTTTAATAGTGATTTGTTTAAACATACATGGGCATTATATAAATGGTGAATATTATTGCTCTTTCTTTGATGTACCTACCCGTAGTTTCTAAAATACTCAATTCTGTGGGGAGGGTATAGCTCAGTGGTAGAGCGCCTGCTTAGCATGCATGAGGTCCTGGGTTCAATCCCTAGTACCTCTATTGAAAATAAACAAACAAACAAACCTAATTACCTCCCTCACAAAAAAACATAAATACATGAAATACTTAATTCTGACTTGTTCCTGCCTTTCTGCGGAGAGTTGGCTGTGTTGAATTGTCTATACCAGTCCATTTCAGACTTCATCACTCTGGGTCCCTATTTCTTTAGTTTCTCCTGTGTGGAGCAAGGTCTACACAATTTCGAACTTGGATAGAGGAAAAAGAACGTAGGGTGAATCTTCCTTCTCTCGAGGGGCAGCAGATTGTAGAAGTTAAATTAATTGACTCTGGAGCCAGAATATCCGGGTTCAAGTTTAAGCTTCATTAACTACTAGTGGGGCAAGTTACCCAACTTTTTGGTGCCTCAGTTTCCACACTTGTACAGTGTGGAGATTGTGTTAAAGGACTTAATTGGATAACATGCTTTGAAGGGTGCAGAGTTTGAACGTAGTAGATGCTGAGTGGTTGCTGTTACACCACTGCTTCTGCCCCAGGATTATTACCCTTCTCTTTGTTACTATATCCGTGTCTTATTTCTTCTCTTTACTGCCCGTGTGATTCATCACTGCTAGCATGAATTGCCCAGAAAAATCCAGACAGCATTCTTCTCACATGTATTGAGCTTTCTTCACATCTTACCCATTGGCCACAACCCACTATTATCCCCCAGGTGCCCTTCTGTCTTCATAGTGTTCAGGCGGGTGAAGGGGGAAGGGTGTTTGATGGTGGGGTGGTGGGAGGGCGACAAGGAGAGTTCATGTCTGCAGTTTGATGGGGATGGACGCCATCCCTCCATCTCAGAAAGTCTGTGATTACACATGAGTTTCACACTTAGATCTGAGTACTCGGTGTAGGGGTATAGGTCATAGAAAGGAGCAGTTTTTTTTTTTTTTTTAACCTCTTGTCTCTGTCATGGTTACTAATGGTGAAGTCGGAAGAGCCAGGTATTTTAGAGGCATCAGAGCAGGGATGACAAACTGAAACTATTTTTTTTATCAGTGAAATTCAGAGGAATGGAGCTCTCATCTGGGAATTAATATCACTGACTTGTAGCTAAATTAAGCATTTTTTCTTAAACCTTTATGAAAAGGGTTTCTCTGGGAAAAATAAAAAAGTAATTCTGGTTCTGCATAACTGACTTGTAGGTGAACTTTTGGATGACAGTGTTCTTCTCAGTTGGGAACTGCTTACTCTGTACTTTCTCTGCAGACTCCTCATAAATCAGTGGGCGTCTAAATCCATGGGCTGCCCCCCTCTCCACATCATGAATACCGTGTATCTTTCTGAGTTAATTTTTCACGGGGGGAAGAGGGTAGTACTAAATTTTATTGTGTATACCAAGTGCTTATGCATATGATTTTATCCTTTCAAAGCTCTATGACTATCATTCATTTGTAATTAGAGATTGGCAAGTTCGGAAAAGGTAGATAAGTGACTTAACAAGGGCATATAGCTAATAAGTGGTCAAACAGATTTTTCCCTTTGGTCATCAGATGCCCTGATTCAGGCTTTTTCATTGCTATCATGCATCCTCTTGGGTGGTTTGATTAAATATGTCTTTGTAGACCTTGGGTTTCCTTATATTGGGGTTTCTTTCTTACTATTTTTTGTCAGAAGTTAATAGTTTTTTGAGGGGGGACCTAATAGTATGCTATTTCATGAAGGATTATTATATTCTCCTTGTAAATAAGAATAAAAAAGATGACTAGTTTACTCCTAAGGTCTCCCTGTACTTTTTGTACTCCTTGCAGAACGTGCAGTGCCTGGCTTTGGAATGCTAATCTATATGGACTCAGTAGTGATCCTATATATATATTTTAGAATTAGGAGTTTTGCAGTGAGCTAGAAATTGGTATGTATTATTTATTTCATTTATCATAACCCAATGAGTAAATGTGCTTTCTAGGAAAGTAAGGTTTAGAGGATAGGCCCCTTGCTCAAGGCCACACCACTCATGAGGTTTCAGTTCCAGGCTAGAGCCAGTGCCCTCTTTCCTTGACAACAGGGCACTTTTTAAAACAAGTACCAGTAGTCGAGCTATCTGACTGCAGTGGAGTCGATGTTTTAAATCATGTATTCTAAACTGGGTTAAGGAAAATCAATAGGTACTGTTCTCAGTAATTACACAGAGCTAATTGCAGGCGTTGACGATCTGTGCATCTGCTCATACACATCACATACTTTCTCTTTTCCCAAATGCATTCTCAAAGAGATTACAGGGGGCAACTTGTTCCTTCTTGGAGAAACCCCCTGTCTCATCTTCCACATGAGCAGTGAGGATCTCTGGCCATCCATTACTTTTTTTCTTTTGAAGGAGTGACTGACTGACTTCCTGATGACTCAGGGTTTTCTGCAAGGCGAAGGATCGATGTGACTGGGAGTCAGTTGTGCAGAATTGTTGGACAGCAAAGATTAAAGATGGGTTAGTGATGTGGATATTGTCAGTGGGGATCTGCATCCAGTACTTCAAAGAGTCCAAATGAGTATTACCAGAGAGAGATGAGATCTCTGTGAGTTGAAGGAACTGAGAAGGTTTTTGTGAGAGGGGAAAAAAGAGAATGTTATAGACAGGAGGGTATTTTGACTAGTTTAAAAAAAATGTTTTTTTCCCTTTCTCTCTTTTTTTTTAAATGGAGTTACTGGAGATTGAACCAGGACTCGTGCATGCTAAGCATGCACTCTACCACTGAGCTGTACCCTCCCCCAAATCTTTTTAACATTGTGCTCTCTTTTATTCAGTTTTTTGTTCATGATTTACTATATTATCTTGCGTTGATTCACTTACTGCTTGAATGTCATAGTATGTGTCTGTATTGTCTTCCCATTTAAGGCTGTGAGCTTTCAAGGGCAGAGTCATATCTTCAACTTTCTACATTCTAATGTTTTTGCCTACAGAATTTCTCATGCAGAGCCAAGTAAATCCTTCCTTTGTGGGTAAGGATCTGTACGTGAATCCAAGGTTATAGTGGTCTGTGTTGAGAAGCTTTTACAGAAATATTTTGGATACTTATACCGTTCTATTTAAAACAGTTTTTATGCCTTCTGCCTTATTACGTGACTGTTACCTGAAAATATGAGATAATTTTGAATAATCCTAAAATGATTACTTTTTTTTGCCTGTAAGGAAAACTGTGTCATGTCAACAAGATTTTATTGTCAAAGAGAATTTAGTTTTAGAATATAATTTTAAAGTTCTATTAAACCATTCCATTTTCTTTCTCCCTAGAGTTCCGTTGTAGTTGCTGTTGATAATCACTGTAGAGAACACTGAACTTTGGAAAAAATGTTAGAAACTGTAGGTAAGACCTATTTTTTCCTATTTTTATAATAATTGAAACTCCTTCCACTGGGATCTTTGAAATGTAGTATATTCTACATATCAGGATTCTATCTATAGTAATTTAGTTTGAAAAATTTAATCCACTAACATTGTAGTAGGATAATGTGTTTCTATATTTGGATGGTTTCCTGTGAAGTGTTACAGAAAACATGTCATTTACAGGCAAAAGTTAAAAGCATATGAAGTATTCTACCAGTTACGGGTCTTAAAAAAGCTTAATGTAAACTCAGTTCTGATTTATGAACGCAGTTCCAGTTAATATTTGTTTCTGAATAGCTCCAGAAAGTTTAACAGTATTTTTAATACTGAAAGATCATTGCCTAGCTCTTATTTTTACTTTTTTTGAGCTTTGCTTTTAAGTTGATAAAAGTGTTAGTAACGAGCACTGACTGCAGCAAAATTGACTGACAGTTTAAGGCAGTTTAATTTCGGCATGAGATAATTTAGGTTGAAATATCCAAATTTTCTAGGCTCATGGGTTAATCTTTTCTTCACTCTGCTCTCTAGAGAAACTAGTTTATAGAACCAGTTTCATGTGTGTCAGGTATGGTCTGCCCAGCTGTCCCCCGTCTGACACTGCAGTCCTCACCTTTTCCAGGGAACTCTTTGCGATTGGAAGGTGTCTGGATTTCACTGTGGTGCCTTGATGATCATTACGGGTGCCTTGACCCCTGCAGGCTTTGAGGGGGGAGGGGTGGGTGGCTGGAAAGGAGAAGGAGCTGTTTTCGTGGTCCTGGGGATCATTACTGTGACTTTTGTTCGTGGTGGTAGGCCCGTGATGACAATGCATGGGTGTGTGTTTCTTTCATCACCTCTTTTGTACTGAGGGTCCCATACCACAAAGGCGGTAGTCCACACAGCAGAGTTCCTCATGAGAAAGTGGATGCAAAGGGGGAATACAGAATTATTTAAACCATTACCTTCTAATCATTATTCTGTAGGTTATTACTGAGCTGTACATCTTTCAAGAACCGACATGGGAATTGACGCTAGAGTTGTATTCTGAGATACCGTGGGAAGTACGACCCAGAATAAAGTTCTCATGCATATCTTTTTTATGATTTGCGTTAAAAATTCTGCATAAGAGTGAATATTGTTTAAATTTGTGTTTGTGTGTGAACTCATGGTCAGCATTAAATCATGTCTTACTATTTTAATTAAGGGAAACTGTCTCTGCATAATTCTACATTTGGTGCTGAAGAAAGTGTCTCTGGTGATAATTCTCTCTCTTTTCTGATTGCAGTGATATGGCAAATATATTTTAATGGAAACACTTCTTACCATCATGCATCTTTTAGGACATGTATCTGAATGGTTGCTATATTAAAAAAAAGCAAATTTGGCTTCCCTTATAAGTAAGGGAGAGAAGGAGAGAGAGTGAGTTTTGAGGAGACGTTTTTAACAATTATTTGTGGTAGAAACTCACTCACTGGTGGAAGCGTGCATGCAAGATGCTAGGATTACTAGGGGTAAACTTATGGAAAATACTGACTTTTGCCTCTTTGTGCCTGATACAAGGTGATTAGTAAATTTTTGACTTGTATTAGTTTTATGCATACATATGTACATATGCTGTTTAATTTGGGGATAAGGCATTTAAAGTACTAGAAATTGTGCTTTTGAAGGGATATGCATTATTCTGACATATTTTCAAGTAAATTCACAAGTACACAGTGCTTTGCCTCTTAATGTGAATTTGTCACATGTTGGATGTTATAACTCATCAGTGGCATTATTCACCTCTGCATATTAGCTAAATTTCTAATTTTTCTTGTATGTAAAATTTTTAAGTGAAAATAACAGCATTTGCAAGGTCACAGAAAGTGCAGTTTTCATTAGTTTTTATACAAGAGCTGAAATAGCTGGTATTGGACTCAAATATACCTCATCTGAGTGTCCGTACTATACAATTAGTTGCATGTAGCATACACTATAACCAGTTCCCTGCTTCCAAAGAAACTTTCTTACTAGAGACTTCAGGGTTTGAAGGCTATATTTATAGTGATACATGTCCCTCCTTTTTTCCTGTGTCAGTTTCGAGCTCTTGAAAGGAATAGTTGTAGGATCTCTCTAAGCGTGGTTTGATACCTGTCTTTTGACTCCTGTTATTGACTAATGCTGCTCTTTGGTTTAGATAAAAATCGGGCCCTGCAGGCAGCAGAGCGCTTGCAAGCCAAGCTCCGGGAGCGCGGGGATGTAGCCAATGAAGACAGACTGAACCTTCTCAAGTCAGTGCTGCAGAGCCCGCTCTTCAGTCAGATTCTGAACCTTCAGACTTCTGTACAGCAGCTGAAAGACCAGGTAGGCTGTGAAGCGCCCAAAGCAGGCCTCCGTGGCGTGGCGTGCATCTTGTGAAAGTCTTGTGTTTTTTTCTGAAAGGCTGATGTTTGTATGTGTTAATGGATCATTAATGAAGTCATTTAAACCTCCAAATGAGACGTTCAGATTCACTGTGGCTCCTCCACCCAAACCCCCAGTTATTTTTGCAGTGGTTGTTGCTGTATATTGTAGATGGATGACATTGTGTTGACAGCTGTGTGGATGCAGAAGGATGAGTTCCTACAGGAGAAGAGCATGATAAAAATATGTTTAGGGTGGATGGCTGTAACCTTGGTTTCCATCATCACTAAGACTCATTGTTCGTGTGATCTTGCTCATTCCGATTCAGGCATTTAGTGCACTTACAAGGTTTCAGATGAGCCTGGATTTGCATGTGTAATCATGTGTGTGAGGAAGGGAAATCACCTCTGTTTTGACAGTAAGGGGAATAATTACATTGTCATCAGTTAGAGGAATTGCAGTTCTCACTTCTTAAAAGAGTGTAAGTAGCAATTGCTCCCATGACAGCATCAGATGGTGATAAACATTAGAACTTCTAACTGTAAGTGTTTTATTTCTGTAAAAACTATGAGCATTAAAAAGCCCTAGGGTTTATATTAAAATTGAAACATATCACGATGACAGAATGAAAACTGGAGTCAGATGTTCTTTGAACTTACCTAATTTAATCACTATTTCTCAGATTTTTAAGAAATATTTTTGAAGTGGTTTTTATTCTCACAAGGTTTGAAGTCAAGATCATTATGCCTTCCTTCCGAATTAATTCTGATTCTGCTGTTTTTAGCATTAGTCTAATGGTTATGGATGACTTGCTAGCAAATATTCTACCTTAAAAGTTTAAACTGAGACCTGAAGTCTAGTTTCTTAATTCAGTGAAAGTACAGCTTCAGTTAAAAAAAAAAAAAAAGTGCCGAATGCAAAAAGAACAAATAGAAGCAATAGAGAAGGAATTTGTTTAATGTCACATAGCTTCTTAATCTAGGTATTTTGGAAGTCAAAAAAAGTAAGTAAATAAATCAAGAAGAATCTTTAAAACATTTTTTTCTCAAGAGGATTTCTACTTAATGATTTTAAAAGTCATAATCCTGAATTAAGGAGAAGAGGTATATTTCGTGTATGTAGCTATGTTTGTTTCCTTTGTAAATTATTAAGATTTTCTGACTTCAAATACTCATTTTCAGAATGGACTGGCAAGCTTTTGGAGAAACCAGTAACATGAATATAAGCATAATTACGGTGTGGAGAATTATCTGGTTTTACAGAGAGTGTGAAGATGTTGAACAGACGTCTTCTCCCCTAATTGTATCATGTGGAATATGATTAGAATGAGAGGAAAAGTTGACGAAAGTACTAGTAAGTATGTTAGGAAATAGACCAACGAGGTAACTGTCAAAATCTCCCTTCCAGCCAGCCGCACGGAAGAGAGTAGCGTTTGTACTTAGCACACCTGCTAAAAGCAGGGGAGACATGGGCCTGCTTGTTGATGGGCTTGTTTTATTATTTCCAAATCGAAGTAGGAAGTGGGCTCTGGAACTGTTTGGGTCCCACGTGATTCAGCTGAAATTTCCTTGGAAATTACTGAGCACAGTATTATCGAGCCTCATAGTCTGCGAACTATGTACAGTGTGATCTTACTCTGTTCATGACAGACCCTAATGTACGCTTGAACAGCATGGGTTTGAACCATGCAGGTCCACTTACACATGGATTTTTTTTTTTTCAGTAACTGCATCTGTGTACCATAGATGTGTTTTCTCTTCCTTATGATTTTCTCAGTAACGCTTTGTTTTCTCTGGCTTACTTTATTGTGAGAACACAGCATGTGATATATATGACCATACAGAATATGTGCTAATCGACTGTTTATGTTATCAGTAAGACTTCTGGTGCACAGTAGGCTATCAGTAGTTAAGTTGTAGGGGAGTCAGAAGTTACCCTTGAATTTTGGACTGCACAGGGGTCGGCACCCCTAACCCCTGTGTTGTTCAAGGGTCAACTGAATTTCAAGACTAAGTAAGCCGTGATGTTTGTGAGTTAGGTAGGCATGTCTTAACATACCTTTGGACTTCTGGCTCATTGGTCACCTCTTCAAATACTGAAAAGGACCAAGGAATCCCTCTGTTCTCCCCTCTGCTTGTTACAGTGGCTTAGAGAGTAGAGCCAGGACTAGAGCTCGGGTTTCTTGGCTCCCAAGGCACAGCCCTCTCCCTTATTCGAGTCTGCGGCTTGCCTTACATCTTCCTGCCACCCCCAAGGGTAGAAAATTAGTCCCTAGATTCCAAGGGTTTAATGTCGCTTGAAACCACTGATAACTTCCCACGGTTTTTGTGACTCTGCACTTTACTCTCCTTTCTTTGCCAAGTCAGTTTCATTTATTTATTGAACCACTTTGTTTTCCTCAGATGACTAGAGAACATTTTCAAAAACTTGTATTATTTTGTTTTAAAGTTTAAACATAAATATTCTAGACATTAACCACGTTAGATTTAAATTACCAACTGCTAATTTATTATTATTCGTAATTTAATATTGAAGTAATGCACCTAAGGAGTGAACATTGTGCTTTTAATCCAGTAGCTACACACTTATGATTAATGGTCAACTTCTGTTTGTTGTCTTCTACCTAAATTATGTTTTCAAATGTATAATTCTGTATGCACAATGGGAGCACTTACTGTCTCATTTTTAGTATTACTGGAAAGTTTGACCCCTTCGATTTTCCTCTGCCATCATTCTGTGTTTTAAAAAGCAAAGTCAGTGAATAACTGAAAAGTGCAAGGTACATGTAGCATATTGGGAGCATAATCATACTGTTACATTAATGACAGATGTTGACATGCCATGTTGAATTAACCCCACTGTTTTTTCCCCCAGATCCTTCTCATTACCTGTATTCAATAATGTTTAATTTTTCCACTTTGCTTCTTCAGTATTAAGACTGCCCTTAGAAATCAAACTATTTCCCTTCGGCAAATTAAACACTTGACAGGTGTGTAACTGAGAGGGCAAAAAAGCCTTGTCCTGAAGGGATTGTGCTATTTAAATATTGTCAAAAATATTAACAGGTCTGAGAGTATAATTGATGCCTCTGTTTAACTCTGCCACATTGTGTATTGTTCTAACCGCCAGCTAAAAGGATGTGTGCTATTAAACCTGAATAATCTCTAATAGCTGCAGTTCATTTCCCATTGCATGATACCTGTTTAAGTGAAGAGAGAGAGGAAGAAAAAAAAGGAACCGTGACTTTGTGTCAGTGATTTGTCAAATGCAAATTCTCAAGTAGTGTCCTCACTGTCACCTAGTCATCACAACTAATAACTGCAGGGCTTAATGCATATTCATGACAGAAATCCAGCTATTGTGGAGGAAATAAACACGTTAGCAGTTTAATAATAGAAACGTGTCAGCCATGAGGATATTGGATTTGCATATTTACTCTGTGACGTTTCTTCAGTCCAGTATAGGTGGATGCTTCTCTCCTGGTTACTTAATTACCTTGCCTTCTGAATTGACTATGGGCACTAAATTAAATGTCCCTTTTACTCTGAGTAATTTGTAGGAAAGCTACAAATTAAAATTAGAAATTTAGGACTAATACTTAATAATTGTCATTGCCATGATTTTTTAAAAAGCTGTGGCTACAGAGGCCAATTCTAAGATTGAAAAAAATGTGGTTGTACAGGTTACAAAAGCTGCTAATATAGAAAACCAGCCTCAGAGCACAGAATATTTTGGAGGTTTCTCCTTGTCAGTGATTTCCAGCCCTTTTGGAGTGTGTTGTCATTCTAGTTTGATACTTCCAGGTTCCTGATTCATTCACCTTTCTCCCAGAATAGTGTTGGCCTACATGCATATCATCTCAATGCATGATGTATATGTACACAGAAGTAAGCCAGATTTTTCTAATTTTTTTCTTTGGAAATTTTATGACATCTCTTGAAGTAATTGGAGAGGTGCTGACTTAACATAGAATCAGTGTAGAAAATTAGTGCTCAGTGTTGATCAGAATAATTCAGTCCTTTTTCAGTTTTATTCTTACAAAATATGGTCTTCATGGTATAAAATTGTGGTTTTATGTTTCTGTGTTTCTGAGTTTTATCATATTCCAAAAAGAATTTGGAACAATTCCTGAAGGCAAAACACATTGACTAATGAATGATTCAAAGGTAAATCTAAACAAAGACCAAATAAAAATATTAGAGAACTAGACAAACTAAGATCTTGGGTTGCTAAAATTAAGTATATAATTTTATTACTACTTCCCAGGACAAAGGCGGAAAAGAACTAGAGAATTATCTATTGCTCAGTGTGAGACATCAGTGAACCAGATTTTCCTTTGGCAATGGGAGGGTTAGCTCATGGATGTTTTTATAGAAAGCTGACAGTCATTTATTAGTAAAGCTTTGTTAAACATCTAAAATAAATAAAAATAACAGTGAATAAGTAAGATGGAATGTCTCACTATCTGGAGGAGAAGATAGAACATATATATTTTAACATAATTAAATAGAAAAACAAGAAGGTGAGTGGTATAAGACAGACAGAAACATTTTAGGTAGTGGAAACAGTGTTTATAAGGGTTTAGAGCAGTTCTCAAATGGTGGTCATTTTACATTCTCTCTCTCTTCAGGGGACATTTAGCAATATCTAGAGACACTTCTTTTTTATTCTTAATTTTAGTAATTTGAGTTTTTTTTTTTCTTGTTTGGTCTGGCTAAAGGTTTGTCAATTTTGTTGATTTTATAAAAAGCACCAACTTTTGGTCTTGTTGATTCTCTTTGTTGGTTTTCTGTTCTGTATTTCATTCATCTCCCCTCTAATTTTTATTGTTAAAAAAAAAAAAGCAAGTAGAAGGAAACAAAGATTAGAGACACTTTTGATTGTCACACCTTGTGGGTGGTGGGGTGAAATGCTGCTGGTGTGTAATGAGTAGAGTACAGCATAGCCCCTCACAACAGAGC